AGAATTGAACGAAGAGGAATTGCGTATAATATAATATAATAAAAATAAAAATAGGAAAACACAATACAACAACAGGAATATTAGAAATAAAATAAACGAAGGAAACGCTGCGATGCTGCGATTCAGGTGGGAATTTCGCGCGACGCTGTTGCTGATCTGCGTTTGGAGAAACGCTGTTTTCTTAACAGACGCCGAACCCGTTCTGACAAGACCGATCCACGTTTATCAGAGCCTGATCAAGGGTGTCCACGATTACTTTAACAACACGTGCGTGATACTTTTTCACGGCTCGATGGCCTCGATGGCCTCGATGGAGGAGGAAGGTGAGTGACGAGTTCGGATGTAGATTGGATGTGTCGTCGAAGATCAAATAGTGGACGATCCACTCTAGGGATGAAAGAGATGGATGGGCTTCTGGAGCTTCAAAGATACTTCAGCGGATCTCTGAGCATCCGGACCGCGATCATGGACTTTCACACGTTCAGGACTCGAGTAGGTTCATCATAAAGAATTCGTTGGATCCGCGACGAAGAGACGCGACGATTGAACAGAATTTATAACACGACGAAAAATTCACATAGTCCGTCAAGCTACGTGCAAAGTCCATAAAATGATGAAAACTGTACACGGTATCTGTACACTTAAGAAATAATTATACTTTCCCATCCTCAAGATTTCTCGTATTCGACGAGACACGTATTCCCCACATTCTGTATGAAATGAATGCTAATACTTAGATTACGTATGATGACACGCAAGGTATGAAATTTATAGAACTATATTTAACGCCTTGTTCGAATCTATACTGAAGAGTTAATGATGCGATGCACGCGAGCATGCGATCTTGCTGTTAAAAGTACACAACACGTGCAGAAAAAGAGCTTTGGAGAACGCATTGAATCTTGACACGTTCACAGTTCGTTGTCCTATATGTATGGTTCCCGATTCGTACGTCCTCTGATCCACCATAGAACAGAAACGATTAATATTAAAAATGCATACTTTCAATGTAACAAAGGTATCTTCATTATTATATCGACGAATAAATCACGTTTCATTTACATGTAATGAACAGTTTTCAAACGTATCGTTAGAAAACTGTTTACATTTCACGCCTATGGACGAGCATGTTCGACATTAGAACTGTGAACGTGTTAATGATCGTCTAATCTCTTGCGACGTGATCCGATTGATTATCGTGTCTTATTTCAGATAGGGAACACTTACCATCACATCAAGAGGCCGTTGTTCGTGTTATTGAACGACCTAGACGAGATTAGACAGCAATTCTCTCTGGTGAGTGGAGAAATAACGACAAGAGGGAAGATGGTAGTAGTGGAAAAGAAAAATGAAACGATGAAACAGGTCTCCAAGTGGATCGCGATGGCTTATCCGACGTGGTTGCTGTTTCTGCGGGACGAGACTAGATTCGAGGAATTTTTGTCGGACGTTTACGTACCGTTTGACTGTATGATGATGGTCACTCAGAGGGATGAGAGAGAGGCTGGCGAGATCATTCGGGACGTATATCGAATCAGCAAGGAGGATGATCTCAGATCGATGAGCTTTGGCAAGTGGGATCCGAAGAATGGGTTCCGGGGGCCTCGTCTTGGATTGTATCAACGTAGACACGACCTACAGGGATACAACATACGAGTGGCCTCTATTAACGTGAGTGATAAGCAATGATCGATTGTATCTGCACAGATCAATGATCAGTCGTTATTTCTATCTCGAGAGGGAAATATTTTCGAGTTCGGACGCAATAACGAAAAGAGAAATATTTTTCCTATTCACTTATAATCAGAAATTCTTCTTTATCTTCTAAGAATGGAAAGGGAGATTCAGAAGCATCTTTGAGGTATTGCGAGGAGATAGAATTGACAGGACAATGAGTGGACTTGATGGATTTTTATACATTTATACGCGCACGATGTGACGAAATATTACGAAATATTCAAGATACAGTGTTTCTTGTAACATTTTTAAAATACTATTTTCTCTGTTACAGTCTCAAAACTATGAATCTGTATGTCTAACAATGAGATAAGATCTTTCTTTTTTTTTTTTAATTTAATCTAACGCTATTTCCTGTTTTTTTTTTTTTTTTTTTTTTTTTT